GGGCAATTTGTGGCATAGTGACCAGCTTCATTGCAAATATAACATTTGCAATCCTTCTTGGTTTCGAGTGCTTTGGAGGATTTTTTGGATCCTTTTTTTCGGCCTTTGGCAGGTTTCGAAGGAGGAGAAGCCTGGGTAACGTATTTTTTAGACGCTTTAGGCTTGCGACCTTTCCATTTCTTCCAACGGAAATTTTTTCGTTTGGGTCGCTTTGAGGAGGTCGCTCGGTAGGGAGCACAACCAATTTTCCAAGTTTCCTGGAGAATTTTGTCACAACAGCGTTGTCCTTCTGCGGTGCCATTGATCTGGTTTTTGACCTGTTTTTTGGCTTTGGTCTCAAGACATTTTTCGTTAATGAGACGATAGACAAAATTGGTTCGGAAACCTATATTATCGTTCTTCTGGATGCGAACGAGGAAATCGGGATAGCCCTTTGCTGCAAGTTCATCCCAAGGACTTGGAAGTTTGTGAAAGAACTGAGGTAACCAATGTTCGATCGCATTTGGTGGGAGTCGACGAAAGTATTTGGTAAATAACTTTACGTATTCGGGAAATTGGCAAATGTTGCATAATTCGATTTTCGAAAGAGCACATGTTGCATCATCCGTGAGGAGTTGCTCACCGGTATGCCCGACCAATTCTTCTTTAAGGATTTTGACAAAACCGCGTAAAACACCATCGATTTTATCGAAGTTATTTAACAGGGCATCCTTTTGCTGTTTACCTTGAGGAGTTTGATCCCATTGTCGCAGCCAGTCAAGTGCATCGCCTTGGAGGGTTGCTGATAGGTAATCAAGGAATCGGGGACGTTCCCAGGTTCCTTTGTAGTTGTTGACGAGAATAGCTAACGACTGAGCCCATTCGTCGATTGTTTTCAAATGGTCCTTATACGGAACATGTGTGAGATCAAGATAAGTGCCATTTTGTGAAATGGGGAACTTATTGAGGTCATCTTTTCGGGTCCAGGTGGGGACTGTAGAAGGGACCGTAGAAAAGTCGTATTTATACGAAGACGTATAAATTTTGGGTTCAGCAGCTGGTTTAGCTTTTTCTTCGTCGGTTTTTTGACCTGAACCAGAGACTTCTTCGGCGGGAAGAAAATCTTCTGTAGGAAAGTTGCCATAGAAAGATTCGTCTAGAATCGTATCGGACTGACGCTTCTTTTTTCCTTTGGAAGTTTTTCTTTTAGAAGGTTTTGGGGCTTCTTCGATAGTTGTCTCGGAAGAAGAGGAAGATGCCGGAAGAGGATCGGCCTCTATGGTTTCATCGAGTTCTTCTGAAGAATCCGATTTGTCTGAAAAGGCATAAATGTGCTCGTCGTCAGAAGTGTTTTCTTCGTCAGAGGAACTTGAGGTCTCATTTGGGGTGTAACCAAAGTGAGAAAGTAGATTCTCATTTTGTAAGGAGATCTGTCTCATACGAGTGATTATATGAGCGCTTTCGTCAAACGTGAGTTGGGGATTGACGTATAAAGCTTGCAAGCAATTGAGCTGATCTATGATGCTGTCATAATCATCTCGTCGATAAGAGGATGAAGAGGGTGTGGAGAAAACTTTAATGTTTTCAACAGTGTCTTCATGACCGTAGAATAAAGGTTTGACTTTATAACGGGTTGGTTTCTTGACAGAGGATTGGTCTGTGGTCGTCGGGGGAGTCTCTTCAGAAGGGAGAACCGTAGCCTGAGATGGAGGATCGGGTGGATCTGGAGGATATAAATCAGACAGTTTGGCCTTTTGAAGTTTAGCTAAATCAAGAGTCATTTGATTTAGTTGGTCCTGAAGGGCTTTATCAGGAGGAGTGGAAAGAGTGAAAATCTGGGTAAGAGTTTCAAGTTTGTCATTCAGGGAGAGTAGTCCCTGTTGAACATCATCAAAAGAGGAAGCCATATGGGTATTGGTTGCCTCTAAATTATGCTGGAAGTCGATTTTCCAGTCCGTAACCATGTCGACAAGGAAGTTGAGTCCGGCACCGACGTGAGGGAAGGAAACAGGTTCGGTAGTATTAAAGTGGGCGATATGACGATAGTTTTCATTTTCGATATTTTGACCTGCAAGGTTTCGTATACAATTTACAGAAGTAGTGTGTGCCATAGTGATAGATTCTTAGATGTTGGATAAACTGTCCTGGTGCCTAAAACCAAAGGTTCCTGTAAGCAGCTTAACAAAGTCACTAAGGTCATACAGACATTGACATATAAGCAAAGACAGGATAATCTGGGCTTTTAACAGTAAACTAACATCAGAGATATATCATAAGCACAAACTAAAACTGAAAACTTTATTACGAAAAACTTACAGTGGTCCAGAATCGAAGTAGGCTCTGATACCAGTTTTTTCGAACCTTATCAGATATGGTTTCTCCGATACACTGGAGACGACGAATATTCACGTAACAACTTGTTAAATTCCAAGGAGCTTGCCGACAGCTTAGATCCTTATTATTTTGAGATCCACAGTTTCTTACACCTACAAGATACTGCCAGACGAGTTCTTGATGGATCATATTACCACCAGGAGCCCATTTTTTATTGTTGTGATGGACGCAGACTCTTCATCACCACCATTCGTTGCTATTATGCCGATACTACTGAAGGTGAACACAATGTCCAGACTGCTAAAGATTTCTTAAAAGATATCGTCAGCCTCAGTCCACTTGATATCCCTTTTCGAGTAAAAGATGGAGCCGAACGTCTTAACCTCGAATGGGACATTGCTGATGCTCAGTCACCAGACAGTCCTCCCTCACTTGATGAATATGAACTTCATAATATCATCAATGCCATGGAGGGATAACCGACACTCTTCTCTGATCGACTGCAACCCTGATCCAGCACACGACAGAAGAATGTCTTGTCTACTTTTCCAAAAGCAAAAGTAGCCGAAAGTTGTCGACACACTATTCATAAACAGTGAAAGCTGCCGACACATCTTTTGTAAACAGTAAAAGAAAAGATTCCTTCTTATCTTCTCCGGAACTGTTTACCTTTTAAAAATGTTATATAAACCAACGCTCTAGCAGAGTTTGGGATATCTGTTTTTCATTATCTCTTTTCCTCTCTTGTTTTGAGGATTCTTCATGTAAAGTTTCTGTTTGTAAAAAATTTCCGCTTTCTTGTAGTGAATATTCGTCGTCTCCAGTGTATCGGAGAAACCATATCTGATAAGAACCATTGAAGGAACGGAGCTGTTTGTGGCAGTCGATCCAGTTCTCATAGGAATTCTGAGTGGGTGCTACCCCTCAGCAGGAAAAGATTTCCTCTGAGCCTGTAAAAGAGAGGGTTGATCCTAAGTCTAAGTAAAATAATCATTGTAAGGCTTCTTCTCTACCCGTAAAGAGAAGGATCATATTGTGAGATTAGGAATCCTCAAAAGGAGCTTCAAAGGCAATGACGTAGGCAGGTGCCGAACCTTGTAAAATTGTTGTCTTGTGTGTGTTGTGTGTGTGTGTGTGTGTTTGGATGCTCTTTACACTTAGTACTCTGTTTTGTTGTGTTTCTTGCAAACCCATTTGTGCTTAGCTTTGTTTTATTACTACTCCCTTTGTCCCAATTTAGCTGTCCATCTTTTCATTTCCAAAATACTTGTCCACTTAAAGAAGTTTAAACAACATATTTCACATCTTTCCATAAAACACCCTTGAAGTTTAAAAAAACTACATACTTGATTATATACATATTCAAACTTGGTAATTTTCAAAGAAAACAATGCAATAATTACATGTCCCCTTGAAAAGTTCTACTCCCCAAAAGGGACATCTAATATGGGACAGAGGGAGTATTTGCTCTCAGGTTGTTTCTCTTAGCTAACACTTGCAGCACTTCACGCATATACGAAAGTGTTAAGCAAGAAAACAGAAAGCAAGAAAACAGAGACCAAATCAGTCCCTAGCTTTCCATTCATTGATTTCATTGTTTGTCTTTGTTCCGCGTTTCTTCCTTAACTAGTCTTAGACCCTTAGTGCCTTCGCTTCAGAAAAGTAGTAAGCTTGCCTAAAGACTCTATTCACCCTCCCTCAAGAATCATTTTCCGGGCTTGTGGAGGAGAGTGATTTCCCACAAATATGGCGATTCTAGTTGTTGTTGGCGTTCCTTGGAGTTGAGGATTCTAGCTGGTGTGGGTGTTTGGAAATTCATCCGTAGAGGATGGGATGAACTTTCAAAGCATATCCGAATTTAGGTTGAGGGGTGGGAGGCATATTCGCTTTTGGCTGAACATTTGGTGTGGGGGATAGACCACTTGCATGCATTTTCTTGAGGCTCTTCGGGATTGCTATTGATCCACAGATCTTGATCACTGACTGTTATCGGCTTAATAACGGGAGGTTGTCTTGGGATGAACAATTCTCTAGGCATTTCCAGGACCAGAAGGTGGAAGATGTGGGAGATCTCTTGGCTTTAATCTATCATCAGACTATGGTCGTGGAAGAGATGAATGAGTGGACTTGGATCTTTTTTCAGCATGGGAGATTTGAGTGCTGGACCTTCTTTCGTAGGCTTGTTGTCCCTAACGGGGAATCCTTTCCTTGGAAGGCTACTTGGTGCATCAGAGCCCTTCCTAGGGTGGCTTTTTTTTGGTTGGACAGCAGTTTTGTGAAAGACTCTGACCATTGACAACCTGAAGCTAAGGAGGCAGGTAATACACTATTAGGCCAAAACTAACTAAAATTACATTGAGCATGCTTTGCTCTACGAAATTTACCAATCTAGTCCCATAGACCTAATAGAAGCAAGTTGGAATAGATTATCCACAATTTCATACAACATTTCGGCTTTTCAGTATGTATTTTTATACACTCACACACAATATCACATCAACATGAGAATTTCAAAGTTCTTATGCTAATTATTGATTATACTTTGACGAAGCATTTAACAAAAAGGAAAGAGAGATCATAATTCATGTGTAGTTAAGAGATATTAACCCACAGGACAAACATGTGATGGGAAAGAAATGAATAGGTCCAAAACTGCTTTAAAATGTGATTAAGAGAAATAGTATTACCTCAATTGTAACATCATGATCTAACTCTATACTTGGTGCTGGGGTATAATCCATGGGTTCGATTTGCTGAGGTGGAATCATATCAGAATCCCAACAGACAAAGTAAATGTCTCCATCCAAATCACTCCCAGAGCATTCATTTGGATGTGGTCTGTTATCAAATTGAACTAATGTCAGCAATATTCAACAGAAAAGAAAGCTACAAATAACTATCTACTATAACTGTTGGAGAAGCAACAAGAAATCAAATCAAAGTAACCGCTAGTCATTACAAACTTCACAAAAATAATTACAATTAATTTAAAATGTGGCTATTACAAACATCAAAAATATCTTATTTGAGCCTCTTAGATGAAATGCTAAAAGAAATTTCAATAAACAGAGAAAATTATAGAGCCCATTCATCATTCACGTAAACAATCCATGCACTAATGAGAATCGTGTGATGCTTCAATTTTAGTTAAACCCAAAGGGCCTGAAGGTTATACTCACGATCCTCAAATTAATCACAATGAAAGAAGGAAGCATAAATTCATAAGAGTTTTTGCATGGATCAAGAAACAAAATAATAAATAGCTTCCATTATAGCGCCAGTGTACTTTGTAGTTTCATTCTATTTTTGTTGCAAGTACTATGTTGGAAAAAAAAAAAATACATGTGATATATAAAAAAATAAAAATAAAATTATGCGGTTAAAGCTGAAAGCAATCACAACAATTACATTCTTTCATTGCATGGCTAATGCTAAGAGAAGAACTAATCATCCTTGCATGATTTGTTTCTATTTTTCCTTTTTCTATTTTTTATTTTTTATTTTTTGCCAAGTAAAATTTTATTAGGAAAAAAAGAAAAGAAAAGTAAGCATGTATAAAAAATCCTAAAGGAACTCCAAATTTGAAAAGGGAAAAGGGTTTTAAAAGAACAGTCTCTGTCACACCCTGAGAGGTTAGGAAAATAAATGATACAACCTCTTATTACTCAAGATAAGAAACAACAAACTCATTCCTGATAGCAGGTTTATGAAATCTATCCGAAAAACATGGTTAAGTTGAGAGATAAGGAAGAAAAGAAGTCCTTTCCTTGGAGAACCAGAAGCTTGAGGACCTTCTTGGAGCTTCTCAACAAACGACGAGAGAAGTAATAAGGACATATTGTGACCCAAAGAATTCGGAATTCTCTCCAATAAGACAATAGAAATGTGGTCATGACTGCTAGAACTAGTAGGCTGCTCTTGAGTAACTGGACTACCTGAATAACTACAGCTAAGAACAATCATCCCCTCGTGAGCAAGCTTAAGACTGATTCAAATTCTTATCCACAATATCAACAATCTCAACCTCGGACTCATTAGTTTTAGAAGTCTTAAAAAAATCACCACTAGCCCCTTCTTTTTGGTTAGTCAATTCATATTATTTTCCAATAAAGTTTGCCACCTCAAAATGAGTAAGAAAACTAAAAGAATTAGATGTGGAAGTATTGTCTTTAACCTCAATTTCCTACTTACACTTCTTGCTCACATTTTCCCATCAATCCTTTGAAATTTGACAATCTGACCCTTCATTCTCCAAACTTGGTTGTGTTTTTCCTAGACCCTTAAAGGACAAGAGTTAGTGGACTGGCCAAATGCATAATGTGAAAATGCAAGAGTAGAGAGAGAGAGACAGAGATGATACAGTGAGAGAGTGCAAAGATGGAGGCTCTGCCTCTGTATATTTCATTAAAAATTAATTCAACCCTAAACATAAAAGGGTAAATATACCATACAAGAAAGGCCTATTTGCATAATGGCCACAAACCCTATATCTAAATACAATCTGACCCCAACATAAATATATATTTACATATAAATATTCTAACACATAACAATCTATATATTGTTGCGGCTTCAGTGGAGTCTCAACCCTAATCTCAAAAGGTTCACCATGTTAAAGATCAATAATGAAGGATTTCAGAAGATCTAGAGGCCTCCACTTCATTGCATATTCAAGCAAATTAAAGGCTAATCTTGAGACTAGTGTGCTCATCAACAAACAAAACAATGCCTCTACAATGCTAGCTAGAATGGCATTGGGCTAGGTTAGGAACAGGGTGCCCCTCCCCCGACCCTAGCCCTAATAGAAATATATCTACCATACCATCACAAACCCAACACAGGCACGAAACGAGAATCCCATCCCGGTTTACAACTGAGGTAGAGAGAACAATCCATGTCCCAATTAACAAGAATAAAACCTTTTTTTGTATGCAGGATACATCTTATTTCAAGTTACACTATAATATATATATATACACACACACACACACACAAAAATATACAACCTAAGAAGCATGGACACTGACACGGGACATGGACACAATACGACACAAATACATCGATACGTCAAATTCTAAAAAAGTAGGGCATGGATGCAACTAATAAAAAAGATTTACCAATGTTCAAATGAGAATGGTTAGAGAGAGGAAGCTTGCTAAGTTGATCCATGGATCCATGCTTTCTATTAGACCCTTAACAGTCTCTCCACACTAGGGCCTAAGTCAAAGGAGGCTTAGCTAGGCCCTTGGCAGCCCAACGTGGGGCACAAGTAGGCTGCCAGCATGCCACAATGTGCGGCAGTGGTGTTTTTGTAAATAAGTCAAAAACCAAAGTCCGGGAAACACTTGGGAAAATTAATCTAGTCTTCTCAAGCCATTTGAAGCATGTTCCAGAAATTGGATGGATTTTTAGAGCTTTCCATAATTAATTATGGAACTACACTTCCTTTGGCAGGGTCAACATTTCCTTTGTCAGAGCCATAACTTTTAGTTTTGCTTATATAGAGGGGCAAGGGTCTTTCAACCCCTTTTAGTATTATTCCTACGATAAAAACAATAGCTGAGTTTTTCTATACATTCATGTTAATGGAGTCCAAAGAAACTAGTCCATAATAACAAACAGAAAAAATATTACCTACCCAATATGAGGATTCAAATTAGGAAAAAGATCTACCTTCCGGAAAAAAAAAAATTAGGAAAAAGATCTATTAAAATTTTGTCAATGTATAATAAAATCTGTGTTCCTTTTCTGAATAAATAACCACTACAAAATTCTTATTTGGCTAAGGATTTAACATTTATAAACTATGTAGCTAGCCCAATATGAACCTAGGATAATTAGACAACAACATAGAATTTCTCATCTTCATCATCAAAACAGAATTTTAGTGGAGTAATGAAACAATATTCATGCAACCAACCCTTCGAAAACGCTATGTAGAGTTGAGTTGAGTTGAGTTTTTATAGGACTTCATGATTCAAAATTCAGGGGAGAGATATTATGAAATGTTTTACCTGATTCCTTTTTGTGGAAAAACTATGCAATCCACCATATGGTTTAAAGCTCGTACATTTACAGCCTTTAAGACACGAACATCACCCGGGTGCAAGCATGGATTTTTAGCAACAACCACCTTTCCCTCAACAATATAATTACACTTATCAGAATCACTACCATTGAACAAACGAGAGGAATTTTCATAAAACTGCCTTCGTCCAGATCCAGAAAATTGCACAAAAACCTGCCCATATTCTAGGGTTCTGGTTTCATCTAGACATCCCATCATTGATCTTCCATTTGGAACAAATATCCTTGTTTTAGTCCGCAGTTCCAGCAATTTTGATGCCCGAAATACTTGCAGCATCATTGAGAGAAATGGTTCGGAATCAGGCTTATAACCACAAATAAGCATTTCCTTTAGTATGTTAGTGTTCTCTCCTGGAGACATCAACTCCAATGCTTCCTGTGCCTTCAGTGGATCTGTTAGGATAGTATCCAGTTGATCTACAGCTTCTCTTTGCTTCTTTTCAAAAAAATGATCACTAACCCCAAGAGTAGACAAAAGAGTGATCAGTTGGCGATTCAAAAAACAAGGCTGATACTTGCTCCAAGCCAAAACGTCTAACTTTATGTTGTCTGAATCATACTTCGACATGCTTTCTCTCAAGGACAATTTCACTGACGATGTGGGATCAACAGCCACAACACCTTTATACCCACCATACCGGATCTGGAATGCAGATGGAGTATTTTTAAGGCCACATTTAATAGCAACTCTCCGTGCAAAGTCAGAAGAAACTTTCCCTATTCCATCAGAGAAAACGTATCTGGTCCTACCCCTTAAAAGCTTTACATCAGGAATAATTTCAATTTCATGCAAACCAACAGTCAAAGTTTCAGTGGAAGCACTGAAAGATTGACCAAGTCTGGCAGAATATTTCGCCTTGTTTCTGATCCGACGAAAATCACCCATCCATCCTCTTATTTTAGCAGCAGTAAGACCAGGTCTTGAAGCAAACATCCACAAAGAATTTTCCCTCAACTGACTAGATGAAAAGGCAAGAAAATCGAACTTCTTATTGCCAATAATGATGCCATTTCTAAGAATTGATAGTATCCTTTTATATATGGCAGTTCTTCTTTCACCATTGGCTAAAGTTATACGGGGGGATAAATCTGTGGAACGCATTTTTTCCAGCTCTTCATCAATGAAAGAAACCCGGAGAAAATTATCAATATCTTCAGAATAATTGCGTAGCACGCGATTAGACATATTAACCTCTGGACCACAGAAATACACTTTACATGGGGTTATTTGAACCCTGCGTACATATACCAACCCAGCATCCAAAGTAATGGCAGTTGGTTTAGGAAGTTGCCTAGACTTGAGGTATTTTGCATATTGCTCATTGAGCCACCTTACAGGTTCATAGCAACATTCCTTTAAATTATACAGCTTCTCCAGGGCATGTTCTATGCATTCAATGTATATTCTCAGTGGATCAACCAACCGTAAAAATTTGATATCAACTGATGGCCCCGGGAGACATCCATGCTGAACCAAGGAACATACCTTAAATAATATTTTAAATGGCAACTCAAGCCCTTGGGGAGGACCAATGATGGGGACAAGATCCAAATTGCGAGAAAAAGAAAAACAACTCTCTAAGATGAAGGGGTTTGTATATTCTTTATAATAAGCAAAATTTTCACTTAAGTCTGGAAGTTGAAAACTATACGGAAACTGCAAACAAAAAGTAGAAGATTGCCCGATACAGCATGATGGAGTAAAATCAGTTGCCCTGAACCATTGGTCATCAGGAATTTCCTTAAAATAGCTGAAAACAGAGTCTTCTAGTTTCTCATAAATCCGAGGAGCACCAAGCAACTAGCAATCACAGGGAAAAAAAAAAGATGCTCATGATCAAACTTAATTCTCATCTACAAGCAGAACACATATTGAACTAATTGTACCATATAGACTAACAACAATAACATGAACTACAGAAAGTAATAGAAAGCATAAAAGAAAGCCAAATTTCTAATGCAATGAAATGAATCATATCAAATTTTGAGTCAGTGCGCATAGTTAAAATGACATCTAACAATTTCATATACACATTAAAAACATTTTGAATGTCAACTTTTGTTATTAACAGGTCAAATTGTCAAGGAAGTGTCTTCATACCTGTGGAAGGCTAAAATAAGTTGATCCATAGAAAATAACAAAAAAATTAAGCAGATATAGTCCATGTACTGTTGTCTAGGGTAATGGATCAAATCTAGTATAGGGTTGTAAACAAAAAAAAAAAAAAAAAAAAAAATTGATTTAGAATTTTATTGAGTTTAGAATGACAGAGAAGGTTTTAAAAAAGAAGTACAATAGAATTAAGGTAGAACTTAAGATTAAGAGCATAAGATTGGTGTAACGATCATTTAACCAGGTATTCTCAAAATCCATAAAGAAATCCTGAGAGATCCACCTTCAAGACACAAATATATATACCAGCCCAAAATTAATAGAAACTCAAATTCTTACACTGTTTTGATAAGTAGATGAAAAAGCCTAGAAAGGATAACATTAGTTATGCGAGAAAAAATATAATCTTATCCCTTTTTGAAAAAAAAAAAAAAAAAAAGGATAACGAAAACCATTATTCTTGTTTGGAAAAAAAAATATTAAGGAAAGGAAAATAAACCATTGTATCAAATTTACCGCTATACCCTTTTGCATTTTTATAACAAATTCTTGTGAGATCATCTCTTCAGTTTTGACGGATGTAAATCTGGGAAACGTAAGTGGGGAACGAACGGTTGGGAACAAGAGTTTGTTGTGGTTGCTTAAATTCCCAAAATTGTGTAGTCCTTTGGTACATGACTTCATATATTGCCTTCATATACAAATATATATAACCTTCATGACTTCATATATTGTCTTTTCTCGTTTTGCGTGCCGGACACCGTGGGGTGTGCCGGGTGTGTCAAAGAGTTGTTTGGGGCATTTCTTTGAGTCTAGAACTCTCGGAAATCTATTGGTGGCCATTTTGGCATTTTTTCTGTTTTTCGGACCCGAAAGTCCCGGGTGGGACCTGTTATCGGGGTGGTTGTGTGCGGGAGTGGTGTCATGGGTTCATTGCATTCCAGGCATAATTAATTGTGTATATTTATGTTATTGTGATTTAAGAATTTTGTGTGTTTGAGAAATTTATGCTATTGTGATTTAAGAATTTGGTGTGGTTGAGAATTAAGTTATATTTATATATATAGGAAAATGGGATTTTTTTTAAGTGGTGGGACCCACCACCACTTATTTGTGTTTTTAATGGCCAAAAGGCCATTTTGGCCTCATTTTTCCTCATTCCTCTCTCTCTCTACGAAATCTCTCTCCCTCATTCTCTTTTTCTTTTCTTTTATTCTACAAAGCTATAAACCTTGATTTCTCTCCAACCATTTGGAGTTTTTAGTGCCGGTGGCAAGTTGGAGAGCTCGGCAAGATCTACGATTTGATCGGAGCAAAAGTGTTTTTGGTGCACCTTGGAATTTCGAAAATTAGGGCTTGGATTAGGGAATTTTGGAGTTTTCTACATCAATTTGAGGTAGGGTTTGTGTAATTGTCGATTTCCTTGGATTTAGTAGCTAGTTTGATATTTTTCCCCTCCTTTGGCATGTCAATTTGATATTAATTGAATAATGCAAATTCTAGGGTTTGGTCTATGCTTGAGTTTAACCCAATTGATGGTTTTGATGAAACTAAATGTTTATTTGGTATATGAATTTCTAATGACATGCTAAAAAGTGACTATGTGGTGGATTATATAAGTGTTACTTCTAGTATGGTTGTTTCGGTGTATGTTGAAGCATGCTAAAGTTGTTTAATTATCTTGTTGTGGCCATGAAATTGTTTATTGCATAATGAAGGCATGTTGAAAATTGAATGGTTGAAATTAAAATGTTCTATATGCATGGCATGAGGGCATTGAAGGGCATAAGAGAGGTGAGGGTGTAGATGAGATATGTGGGAGTGGGAAAGAGAGGTATGGATACATGGTGGTATGGACGGGATGTGTGAATAAGTGAGGGTATGGTGTGACGTGCGGTTGCATTGATATTTTTATGCATTACATTGTATGTGATAATGATGAGAATTACTTGGAAATTTAAATGCCATATGTGAAATCCCTCGCATGACCCCACTCCTTTTTCCTATTCATTGTGTGTAAAGCATTGGGTTACTTACTCTTGTTGAGGAGGTGCCACTTAGGCAATCTCTACTAAGCCAATGTGCTCACTCCCCTACATTTTTCAGGTCTCGGGAAAGAAGTGGCGGATGACGGATTACCACAATCTTAGTTCGGAGATTTGGAGTTCACTTGTGTTAACTTTTGTATTTTTGGAAACCCGATCTTTTGTAAAGTGTCACCTTGAAAATGTGTTTCATTTGTAAAGCATGGCCGTGTACTGTAATTACGACACTTGATAATATTTTGATGTAAATTGAGACTAAGTAGATATTTCATGTTGAATGGGAATGTGATATTATACCTTCAGAATTTATGGATGCTTTTAAATATATTATATCATGCATTGTTGCCGTAAATTTGGAATTTGGGTCATGTTTCAGGTTTGGTATAAGTTAGCTCACAAAGAGCCTAGAGTTTTTTTTTGGACCTTCAGGCTGCACATTGCAATATCCCAGAGCTCATCAACCGGCTGACAAGGCATGTTAGCCGACTGACAGGCTTTTCATGACCATTCCAGTGAGTTGGGTATTGCAAAACCTTGTTTCGGCCGGCCGAACCTCACCATCGGTCGACCGAAACTCCATCATCAGCTGGCCGACACTCCATCTTCAACCGGCCGACACTCCATTTTGTAAAAGTCCCGAGAGCATGAAACTTTGAGGATCGTTTCAGCCGGTGACCCTGTAGGTTAGCCGGCTGACCATGCATTTTCAGCAGGCTAACGAAGGGCTATCAGCCGGCTGATCTTGCACCTTTTGACCAGTACCTTTGACTTTCCTCCCAAGTCATATCTTGAAGTACCTTGGACCTTAGAATGATCTGTATACCATCTATGGGCCTAGCAAAGGACAGTGTTACCCTTAGTTGACCTTGGGTCCGGGTAAGGATCCGATTAACGGTTCGGACCTACGGGTTCGGGTCGTTACATGCGCATACGCGCAATGATGCTCCAACTTTTTGAGTTGTATCGAGATATTTCTCAAGAAAAATTAGGATTGTTACTTTGGGTATTGACAGTCCAGGTGGGAGGAGTTGGCTCAATATGAGCCCCTAAGTGAATTTCCAACAAAGGCAACTTCTATTGTGGCAAAACGCCTTGATCATCAGCATACATATCAGTTCCCAATGGGTTTACAATATGAGTTTAAATCCCTTAGAACACAGATCATAAACACATCTCCCATGCCATCTTTGTTCGAGGCTTTTGCTATTATTGATGGTGATGAGCATGGATGTCATTTGATTCAACCTATCTCGGTTCCTATATCCGATCCTACTCCTGCGGTTAATCAGATGGCCTTTGCTGCTAATTCAGGATCTCACTCTGCTAGGGGTTAGATTTTTTGTCATCACTGTAAGGAACCAATACATATCAAAGCTTGCTGTTTCAAATTACATCCTGAGTTGAAACAGAAATTTGTTAGAAATCGTATCTCTGGTCCTTCACACACAGCTACAGTTGCTAAGGCTACCATTATTACCGGACCCCTTACTACTTTTCTTGATTTCAGTCAACTTTGGTCTCAGATTAGCCAGCTTCAAAACCAGCTTGGTTCTCTAAACATGCTGCTAGGGCACGTGCAACATCTGCTTCAACTGCCATGACTACCACATGTACTTCTTTTCATGTTAGGACTGGAAAACCTAGGCTCATCCACTCCTATTTGTAGTAAAGGTGATATGTGTCTATCTCTTGAAATTAACCTAAAATTTGTTCTCCATGTTCCTAGCTTTGCCTTTAATTTTGTATCTGTCAGTCGTCTTACTCAAATCTTAATTGTGCAGTCACATTCTTACCCAATTGCTTTCTGTTTTCGAAAAGGATTTTTGGCAGGGAGTATGAGCGCAATGGGTTGTATTACTTTGAGGAGTCACCACCTTTGAAGTCACCTTCTTCTGGTCTTCAAGCATTTGTGTTACTTGATTCAGGCTCTTAGGTTTTTCTTTAGACACTTCGCAATTATGGCATGCTCGTTTAGGGCACGTAAACTTTCAGTATCTATGTTTGCTATTTCTGTCATTAATAAAAGCTTAAAAGACTTAGAAATTTCATTGTGTGGTATGTGAACTTTCTAAACATACATGATCTAGTCATATTCCTTGAATGCATCGCGCTCCTCGTGTCTTTAACTTAATTCAATCTCATGTGTGGGGACCTTCCCCCATTACTGCTTTCTCTAGGAATCATTATTATGTGACTTTGATTGATGATTACTCTAGATGTACATGGATTTATTTATTGAAAAAGAAGTCTGATGTGTTTACCTTATTCTCTCAATTCATTTCAATATAACACTATTGTGCAAAATATTCAATTAGATAATGGGCGTGAGTACATCTCAAATGAGTTCCGCTCTCAACTTAACCAAAAGGGCATCTTGCAACAACTTACCTATCCTTATACACCTGAACAAAATGGTGTGGTCGAACGTAAAAATCGTCATGTCATGGTTATGGTTTGATGTCTCTTAAGAGGAATGCAAGTATCTAAAACCTTTTGGCATATGGTTATTCTCACAACCACTTATCTGATCAACCGTACTCCCAGTCGGGTCACTAATGGTAAAGCTCCACTTCAACTATTTCAGCTCAATAGTACTTTGTTCTCTCTCTTGCCTCGGGTTTTTGGGTGCACCTGTTTTGTACA